TATCTCTTAGAAGTCTATTATTTTCCTGTGTTTTCTTGGATGTATTAGTTAACCCCTTTAGGTTGGAGTTTTCCTTCTAGCACCTTCTGTATGGCTGTATTTGTAGATAGATATTGCTTAATTTGGTGTTATTATGGAATGCCTTATTTTATCTATCTATGGTGGTTTAAGGTTTTTCTGGGTATATTAGTCTGGGTTGGCATCTGTGGTCTCTTAGAGTCTGCAGCACATCTGTCTAGGCCCTTCTGACTTTTAGAGTCTCCATCAGGAAGTCAGGTGTAATTCTAATAGGCCTGCCCTTATATGTTACTTGGTTTTTTCTCCTTGTAGTTTTTAATATTCTTTCTTTGTTAGGTATGTTTAGTGCTTTGATTATTATGGGATGAAGGGACTTTCTTTTCTGGTCTAATCTATTTGGTGTTCTGTATACTCCTTGCACCTTGATAGGCATCTCCTTTTTTAGTTTAGGAAAATTTTCTTCTATAATTTTGTTGAAAACATTTTCTGTGCCTTCAACCTGGATTTCTTCTCCTTATTCTATCCCTATTATTCTTAGATTTGATCTTTTCACAGTGTCTCAGATTTCCTGGATGTTTTGTGCCAGGAATTTTTTTTTAGATTTAACATCTTCTTTGACTGATGTATCTGTTTCTTCTATTGTTTATTCAATGTGTGAGAGTATCTCTTTCACCTGTTGCATTTTGTTGGTGAAACTTGCCTCTATTGTTCCTGTTTGAGTTCCTAAAATTTTCATTTTCAGAATTCTCTCAATTTGGGTTTCCATTATTGATTCTACTTCCACCTTCAGTCTTAAATGTCTTTATTTATTTTATGCCACCATTTTTGTGTTTTCATAGATTTCTTTAAGGGATTTATTCATTTCCTCTTTTAGGACCTTTATAATAGGTATAAAGGCTATTTAAAGTCTCTTTTTGTGCTTCAGCTATGTTGGAATACACAGGACCTGCTATGGCAGGGTTGCTGAGCTCTGGTGGAGATATATTGTTCTGGCTGCAATTGATTGTGTTTTTATGCTGGCCTTTAGGCATCCAGGATTGTGAAGATTGTAATTCTAGGTGCTAATATCTGGTCTTGTCTTTGTTGGGTGGGTATTTTATTCTCTGGTTTCTGTTGTCCTCTCAAGTTTTTAGGAAGAGCGTGGTGGCTGTGTGTTGCCTATAAAAAATCTTCCTGTGTCCTGATAGGTATTGGAACTGAGGGCTCCAATTAAAATGTGTTTCTGGATATCGGGACCAGGGACTTAGTAATGGGGATGGTCTAGGTGGTGGTGGCGCATACCTTTAATCCCAGCACTCGGGAGGCAGAGACAGGCAGATCTCTGTGAGTTTGAGGCCAGCATGGTCTACAAGAGTTAGTTCCAATATAGGCTCCAAAACTACAGAGAAGTCCTGTCTCAAAAAACCAAAAACCAAAACCAACCAAACAAACTATAAAAGGAATGGGGATGGACTGATGGTTCGTGAAGGGAAGAAGACACAGTACTCTACCAGGGTCTGCTTAGTTAGTCCCCTGGGAATAAGGGCACAGAGTGTGGAGAGGCTACCACAGAAGGTCTGCGCCAGAGCCAGGGAGGAGACCGGAGCATGACACTTGGGGAAGATCTGCAATTAGCCTACCTGCTTTCCTATTTGGAGTGGCCTCTGGTTTTCCAGGGAGTTCCTGCAGACCTTGGAGTCTGGGACAAAGCAATGAGTGAGAGTAAGGAAGTTTGGAGGTGAAGATATGTGTGATCCCCTGGAGATGGGTACAGGAGGAGAAGGGAGACTGCCATGGGGATTCTGTGGCAGATCTGGGGATGAGACTGGAGGATGGGACTTGGAGGAGCAAAGGGAGAGGGGGAGATTTACAGTTAGCTCATGTGTTTTCCTGACCAGCTTGTGCCTATTAGTTTTTAGCATTTCTACACCTGTGTATTTGTGTTCCAGTGCCATTGTCACAATGTCTGTAAATACCAGTTCTATTTAATTCTGTGTCTGTATGTGCATGCCTCATCACGGACTCCACTCCCCAGAGCAACGTGCCAGTTTTCCTGTGCCGCACTGCCAGTTTACCTTGGCATGTGTATCTCAGTGTTTACTTTCCCCAGTGTTCGCCAGTCTCTCTGTATCCTTGTGTCTCACTGGTATCTTACAGACCCCGACTATTCACCTCAGCATTTATTTGCTCTAGTGTTAGTACTTTGTTCTGTCTCTGAGATTAGTTTTCCATATGCTTCATTTTTCTGTGCCAGTTCTTTGTGTTCTAGTATCTCAGGTTCTGTGTGCTCCTTTGTGTATGTATACCAGTGTTTCTGTGTACCAGTATTTGGTACTATTGCCTCTGCATTTCTGTGTATCTGACACCTGTAATAGAGCTTATGTGTGTGTTAAATATTTATTCATGCCAGTGTATCTGTGTGTTTTAGTGGCCATGTATGTTTTCCTTTGTCTGTATGAATCATAAAATCTGTATGGTGAGCACTTGAGTTATGTCTACATAATTCAGTTTCCTAAGATTTCTGTATACCAAGGTTTCTGTGTTCTGGTGTCTGTAGTTTCTCTGGTATGCTGTCATCCAGTGTCTGCATGCTCTTGGTTGTCAGTAAGTCTATGAGTGTCTATTTCCAACCCTTAATACTTTTCTATGCCATAAATTCTATCAGTCTGCATTTCAGTACCAACATAGCCCTATCTCTGGGTATCCCTATGACACTGCATTATTTACTTCTGACCTTATGTCTATGTGCCTTGGCTGTATGTCTAAATGCCTATGTATCCTTACCCTTGTATGTGTCTGAGATTTAGCATGTACTGAGCTTCTTTTCTAGTGTCTCTATGTGCCCATGTAGCTCTGTGTTTCACTACCCGCTTATCTAGTGAGTTGGCATTGTTTGAGTACATGCGTGTGTGCGTCCCCTTTCCTGTGTAACTCTTAGTTTTTGTGCATTCCTGATTATGTACCAGCGATTCTTTACATGTTTCTCAATTTTTGTATATTTGTAATTCTTTGTCTTTGAATCTTTGTACATCCCTGAGTCTGTATATGTAGATTTTTTTTACATGACTTTGAGTGTGTTTGCATGCTACCTACTGACTACACAAGGTGGCTGGGTATCCACCAGTCTCTGTATTTCACTCTCAATTTGCTCTTATTTCTGCGTGACCCTAACTCTTTGCATATACTGGACACTCTGGGAACCAGCAATGTTTTCCTGCACTTTTGTGCCTGTGTCCCTGAGTTCTTTTGTTCCAGATAGCACCTGCAGCCTGAGTATGCTGTCCTCTGTGTGCCCACTATCGAAGAGCACCCAAGTCTGTGTATCTCCAGAACTTTCTTTCTCATGTGTTTTGCTAGTTCTCTGCTCCGTCTGTCTCTCCAGCATTTTGTCAGTGTCTCTGCGTGACTACTTATAGGACTGAACCTTTACTCTCCTAGTCTCTGATTCTTTGTCTCAGATTCCACATGATGGCATTACTGTTTCTGTGAATTTATTTGTCTATTTCTTTGCATCTGTTTCTTTCTTTCTCATTGTCCTTGGTTTTATTTCTTTGCCTCCCTATTTTGGCCTGGAACCATGCTTTTTAATCATAACCCACTACCCTTTTGTCCTTAGGTTGAAACTGCTGCTCTTATCCCTTTATTTGTAGCCTTGGTTTGGCGCCTGCTATATGTCACTGTTGAAGGTACCCTCAATTATATTCTGATTTAATGTCATTTCATTCCTACCTTTCTCATTGTCTTCTGCCTCCTGACACATTCTGTGTCTAGTTCTTTTTTCTTTCTCTTTCTTTCTTTCTTTCTTTCTTTCTTTCTTTCTTTCTTTCATCTCTACCTTTCCAGGCATATCGACTTCTTTTCCAAATCTACCCTGTTTGTGTGACTACATTTGTGGGTTCGTATGCCCATGTTTACTACTTCTCTTTCTCTGAGTTTCTATGCCTCTCTCTTTATGCCATTTCACCATAGTGCTGACACCCTACTTTTCCTTATGTCTGTGCTATCTGATCTGATTTCTATCTCTTTTTGGTGGTTTTCATTGTTTAGGGCTTTCCCTTCTTTGTTTCTAGATCTTGGAGTATGTGGATCTCTGCTGTTGGCCCAGTCTTCTTCTGCATGTGCTGGTGTAACTGAATCTTTGCCATACAATGTCTGTTTTCACACCTTGCATGTTTCTGGCTGTGTGTCTCTATGTTATCACTCCATCCCCACCTACGTCTGCAGATCAGAGTGTCAGTATACTCCCATGTTTCTACTTTTTTCATGTTTGGTTGGTTTTTTGGACTGTGATCCTGACCAGTGTCTTCCTGGCTATCTTCATACCTTTATGTCTCTGTGATCTTAATATCTTAGCTCCAGGCTGAATCTCTGTGTCTACTGGTTTGTATGCTGTTATGTCTCATTTTTCACATTCGTCATTGTGCGTTTTGCCCAAAGTCATCTTGTTTTTATCTCTTCAAAGTTACTGTGAAGGGACAGTAACTCAAGTCATGAGAATGTTGAATTCCAGCAAGAAAACATATGTTTCTGTCTCTGATATAGTCACTCTGACACTCTGTCCTCTTAATGTCTTTGTGTCCATATGTTCATGATTTTAGTTTTATTGTTGCTGTTGTTTGGAGACAAGTCCCTGTCTTATAGCTCAAGATGGCCTTAACTCACTATGTAGCTCAGACTGACCTTGAAATTGCGGCCATATTCCTGTGCCAGTCTTGCAAATGCTGAGGTTACAGGCATATGGACCCACACCCAGCTGTCCATGTTTCATTGTTCTGGGTTCCCTGTCCTTTCTGCTGTTATGTCTCCTCTGTCACGGTGTCTCCATTTTCATGTCTTTGTGACTATTTTTCTGCATGTGATCCATGTCTTTGGTTGCATGCCTACTGCTATTTAATGGTTATTCTTGTTCATTCACTTATTCTGCAAATATTTATTAAGCACCTACCATTGCCATGAACTGTGGCTACACGGGGGATTCAGAACAGATTCTTGTTCTCAGAGAGCTTACAGGCTTAGCCAGGATCCAGATGATTATTACACAGTATGGAAAGTGCTGAGATTGGACAGGACTTAATGCAGGTGCCAAACTCAACCTCATGGAAGGCCCAGGGAATGTCTTCTAGGAGAAGGAACAACTAAGACTTGAAAGATGAATCAAGTTTACCTAGATAAAGAAAGTATCCCTCACAGAAGGTGAATACATATAGAAGTCCAACGGTGGGGTTGATCATAGCTTATTAGGTAAATCCAAGAGCTATGAGTACACTAGAAATACGGGAATGCTATGAGCAGAACTGGTGACCCAGCGAGGCTTTGCTTGTAAGAAAGACAGTCTGGGGGCTAGGAAAAGAGAAAATGAATGGGAGGGCGAGGTGGAGGTGGGATGATGGATTCTGGGAGGAATAGACAGGGATGTGGTGGGGTGTTGGTGAGATCAAAATCCATTGTATACATGTGTGAAATTCTCAAACAATAAAAAAGGAAATCACTTCCAGGGCTAATATGAACCTGGAGGGAGCAGAGAGTATAAACAAGAACTACGAGGTGAGACTACTAAAGCTCTTATCTCTGTGCTTCCTGGCGTATTTGTCCCTTAGCACATGCATATGCAGTCTTTATGTGCACCTCCATGGACCCAGGCCTGTGTCCTGGTTGACTCCATGCCCTGGTCACTGGATCTCCAAATTTCATATCTCCTGACTCTAGGTACAGGTGTCATCACAGAACATAGGCAAGGTAGGGCTGGCCCAGCAGCTGTTCGACATGAGAGCGTTTCACCAGCCAGCATGAAGTCCAGCGTGGACGAAGCCTTGGTGACTCTTTCAGCAGTTTCTTGCCTAGTACCACTGGCACATCTGGGCCATGGTGCTTTTGTAAATAAGACCCAGTAGGTCCTGTTACCAGCCGGATGCTTGGGTGCTGAAACTGTCCTGTGGAAGAGAAGATGCAGCAGCAATTAGAGCTCTGGGGAGGTCTGAAAGCAGGGAATCTAGAGGCAGGGTAGAGGCTCAGGAGGGGAGAGGCTAGACACTGAAGAAAGCCAGATGGGACAGGGGTGTGGCATGGAAGTGGAGAGTCAAGACTGTAGAGCGAAAGAGAACATCTGGGCTTGGAGAAGACAGGAAGATACGGGGGTGGGAAGAGGATCAAAGAGCCTTAGGGAGGTGAAGTTACCTGTTTGACCTATCATCGCTGGCCTCGGGTGCTGCCAGGGTCTTCTGACTTCTTATAGTCTACAGCCCGCTTTCACAGAAGGCTAAATATGCAGATGGTGCTTTATAATACTAAGACCTAGCTGTGTCTTTCTCTGTTTAGAACCTTTCATGGTTCCCCCTGCCATGGCTTTGAGAGAAAGTTCGATTTCTCATGCTGACATTCAGCCTGATCACGCCAGCACTAGCTCTGCCAGACTCTGTCCCTTCCCCCACACTTCTCCTCAGCCTTCCCGATGCAGTGCCCTCCCTCTTTTGAGAGCCTTTTCTTGAGCTCTGAGGCTGGGGAAATTTTCCTACTTTGGGTCACTGTAGGTTCCTGGGCAGCTCCCTTCACACTCACCCCTCCTTGTGATCCCCATTCTATGGCCGACTCTTTCCTTTTCCTGTATCAGCGGCTTCCTAAAGGCTTTAATTTGTCTGCACAGTTGGGAACCCACTAGACCATCATCCTAAAAAAGGTTTATTGGCTGAAGAAAAGACTCAGAGGTTAAGAGCACTTGCTGCTTCTGTAAAAGTCCTGAGTTTGGTTGCCAGCATCCACATGGGCTCACAAACTTCTTTAACTCTCGTTCCAGGGAATCTAAGGCCCTCTATTGGCCTCTGGGGCTATCGAGAGCACACACACACACACACACACACACACACACACACACACACACACGCAAAACATCCATATATACACAAATAAAAAGAAATAAAGAAAGGAAGAAAGGAAGAAGGAAGAAAAAGGAAAAGAAAGAGGTGTCTATCAGGACTGGTACATTGTGCTTCCTCTCAACCTCAACAGCACTTACCCATCAGGCCACGGGCTGAGGGGCTGAGGCCTGAGCCATTGGCCACATAAAACCCCAAATGGGGTAGTTGTAGTATGCTGGGGTGTCTGTATTGGTGACGAAGGATGAGGAAGTTGAGGTGGCGCCCAAGTTGGAGGGTGAGATGGGTTGCAGAGGCCACATGGAGCTTCAGCTGGGGCTTCTTCACCAGAGTAGGCTGATTCCAGGGTAAGATCAAGGTGCCCTCACCTTGCACAGATATGGAACTGCGGTTTACTGTAATAGTGTAGGCCCGGGGTTTATCTGAAGTGATTGTGATGATCTGGAAGTATGTACGGGTCTGGTCCTCGTGACCTGGTCTTGGCGGTGCTCCAAGCAACTTGCCACTCACGTGTAACCCTGTAAAGGGGGAAATGCAGGCACAGAGCACAGGCTGTCACCCTAGCATGTACATGGTGACCCACTGCACAGGCATGGCTGAGGTCTCAGGTCCCAGGGTTCAGACGACATAATTCAAATTTGTGGCTAGCATGCTATCTCTCCTGTGGGAATGCTTCCACCATGGTCCACCCTGAGCTGCGGGTAAGAGGACCATGTACACATGCTCACCCTTATGTGGCTATTTGCATGCTTGCCTATTGCTCTATAAATCTGTGTGTTTGGTTATATTCCGATGAGGGATATCAGTACATCGACATGTTTGAAGAAGATGGCATGTACAATGTGTATCTTTGTTTATATCATTATATGTACCTCTGGATGTGTTGGTGTTTTATGTCTTGGCTGTTTGTAAGATACGCCAACAAGTATAAAGTGTCAGTATGCACGCATCTGGATGCATATCACTGTGTGTCAGGTGACTGTTTCTGTTCACTAGTCTATTTCATGTGTCTGATGTGACAGAGAATATGTGCTACTTCTGTGCATTTGATTCCTGGGAAGTGGGATCAATCTGGAGGCATCAGAGCTTCTAAGTCAGAATGTGTTGATGTTTATGTGTTACTGTGTGGTACATATTTACGGGTATGTGGAATGTCAAAATAATTTACCATATGCCCTGGTATGTATCTCTTACTATCTTAGTGATTTTTATGAATGTGCTTGTTTTCTTTTGGGGGGTACTTTTAAAATTTATTTATTTAATTTTTGATTTATGTATTTTTGAGACAGCATCTTACTATGTAGCTCTGGCTGTCCTGGTACTCACTATGTAGACTAGGCTGGCCTCGAACTCACAGAGAATCCTTCTGCCTGTGCCTTCTGAGAACTTGGATTTAAGGTGTGCACCACTACACCTATTTTTAGATTTATTTATGTATTATTTATGTGCGTGAATGCTTTGCCAGCATGTATGTATGTGTACCATGTGCATGCCTGGTGCCTGTGGATGTCAGAAGAGGGTGTTAGATCTCCTGGAACTTGAGTTACAGATGTTTGTGAGTCATATATTTGTTTTCATATGTATGCTTCCATATTACAAGGTTTTATATATAATTATTTTATATGTTATAAAATATAAGGCATATAAATATATAGAGCACATAATACTTATGCATATATGTATTATAAACATTATATTATCTAGACCAATATTATATGTATGTATGTGTGTATGTATGTATGTATATACATACTCTAGACCTCTAGAACTGTAAGCCAATAAAACTCTTTATAAAGTAATACCCCAGTATATAAAATATGCCATTATTTTATATACTCTACTATAAGGTATATATAATAAAATGCTAAATATCTAGGGTTACTAACATGAGAACACTCAGTTGTAGTTGTTTGAGAATGGAGTCCTTGGGGCTCTCACCTGTCTTAGGGTCCTCTATGAGTTGCAGTAGGTCCCCTGGGCGCCCATCCAGTGTGAAGCAGATCTTTTCTCCTGAGTGAGGAATGTGGACCACAAAGTGGGGATCCCCATCCACTGAAAGGCAGGGGAAGAAACTCTGAAGTTCTGAGTCTTGAAGGAATGGGAGAAAGGAGAGGGCAAGGAGAAGGAAAAAATGGAAGGATGTCTATTCCCAAGACAGAGGTACTGGAGTGGGGAGTAGAAAAGGGAGAGGAAGGGAGAGGAAAGGAGAGGGAGGGGCAGAGAGGGAGAAGAAGAGGGAGAGAGGGAGAGAGAGGGGAGAGGGAGAGGGAAAGAGAAAGGGAGAAAGAGCCTGGTGTCAGTACCAGTGTACAAAGTGGTGGGGGATGTGAGTGGATTACCAAAGGACCAGAAGGTGAAGATGCCTGGCAATGTGCCTGCAAAGGATAGAGGACATACATTGATAAGCAATTGATCTAACACATCCCTAACAACCCTGGGACCCTTTGGCTTCTGAGTCCTAGGTAAAGGCCAAATTCCTGAGCTCAGTATTTAAACTTTTTCTGGAATTTATTTCCCTAATATTTTCTTTATGCTTTATTCTATACTAGTCAAATTGACTTATTTTTTTAATTGTTTTTCTTTGAGTCAGGGTCTCACTGTATAGCCCAGGCTGGACTTGAACTCTTGATCTTCCTTCCCTCAGCCTCTAGAGTTCTGGGATCACATATGACTATCACACTTGACCCTGAACTGACTGTTATTATGACCTTTTTAATTTTTTTTGCTGCTTCCTGTTTTTCTTGCCATTTGGAATGTTTTCCTTTTCTTTTGTTAATCAAAGTCAACTTCTAGTTATCCTTCAAGGTCAGACTAATTGATGGATTAATTGATTATTAGCCAGTGATTGTTCTAAATGCAGCCTCTTTGGGCTGGCTTGCTCTGTCTTGCTGAGTGATGACTTGTACTGCTTTGAGATTCTGTAGAGTTCCTACCATCAAGGATATTTTCAGGAGATGCAGTCACTCAACTTTGGATCTCCCAGAATCCAGAATTTTGAGATGAATAAATGTCTCTTCTTTAGAAATTGCCCATGCTGTAGCATTCTGTTACAGCAGAAGAACATGGGTGAAGGGAATGGGGGTTGTATTATTTTTTATTGGAAAAAATTTTCATGTAATATGCTATGATCACGTTTCCCACCCCCTAATTCCTCCCAGATCCACCTCACCTCCCTACATATCCAATTTTATATTTTTTCTCTTTCAAAACAAACAAAAAAGAAACAGAAAAATACAAAATGAAAATTAAAAAACAATCAAAAGAACAATAAGATAAAAAACTGTCCAAACAAAGCAACATGAGACAAAAGTCTACAAAAACACCATTGAATTCATTCTGCTGGCTAACATGGGCATAGGACCTGCCCTGATGTGTGGCTGATAAACTTAACATGACTCCATTGGAGAAAACTAATTCTACAATGTGTTGCTTTAAACTGCTCAATTTATGGTAATTTGTTATATGGTGATGAAAAGGAATATATTGCCCCTCCTCTGGGCTCCCATACTGTCAATGAGAGCTTCAAATGACACTGACTAGACATGGGGGCTTAGAGCAGTCTTTGCCAGAGGAGTCCCTTGTTTACCTTTTACTAGCTCCGCGGAACTTTCCTTAGAGTCCATATCATGTTCAGTTCCTCCCAGGATTCTCTCAGAATTGCCATCCCAGTGTGGACTTCCTGCCAAGCACAAAGAAATAAAAGGAATCCTTCCCACGCCTGGGTCGAAGAGAAGACAGGATCTCACTGTGAAGTTCAGGCTTGCCTCCAGCTACTGATCCTAATGCTACAGTCTCCCAAGTTCCAGGAGACTCCATGTTCCTCCATGTCCGGTCCTTTCTTCCTTCTGACTGGAAGAGTCCTCACTGGTTACGCAAACTAACCTGCTTATGTCTATACTTGCCACAGCCCCTCTCAAGCTCAGAGACACTCAAATTCCTTTCTCCTAGCACCTATATCCTCATTTGTGTGCATTCACTCACTTATTCTTCCAGGCACTGCTTATGTAGGCATCAGGCTATGATGGTGAGAAAGACATGTGTGGTTTCTCACCTGGTGAAATATCATAGTCAAGATTATCAATGGTGGTGGATGCTATAAAAAAAGCTTTACTTCCTTGGACTGATCAAGGAAGTGAAGGCCTAAAGTGGTGTGTGGAGGAATGTGGGTAAGAAAGCTGGTCTGAGATCCAAGGCACCAGCTGGAGTTTTAGGGGCACAGGAAGGATGAAAACTATAGGAAAGTGCAGGCCAGGAGAATCAAAGAGAAGCAGGAGAAGGAAAGACGCCCCTGGGTGATGATTGTGGAGGGCCAGTGTGGGGAGTAGGGAGGAAACTAGGGGTCCAGAGTTCAGAGGATAAGTGGGGGAATGGGAGAAGGTGAAGTCCGTGTGATGTGGGCAAACCACTATAAGGCCTTGCAGACTGTACAGAAGACTTTGAACTCTATTCTAGGCATGATGGAAAAATCTTTGAGGAGCATTGTGTAGAAAAGGAACATGAATTGATTTGGTTCTTTGAAAAATGTCTTGGCCTGCAAGAGGGCAAGAGGAGCCTGATAAGCAGGCAAGAAGAGCTGTTTTAGATGAGATGGCAGTTTGTCTGATTCGTGATCGTGGCGGTTGGGATCGTGAGAAGTCAGTGAATTTGGAAAATAGATTAGAAGTAACATCACTAAGATGGAAAGGCAGGTGGGATATTGGGGAAGAGAAGCAATGGTAATGTCAAAGATGTGAATTATTGCTACCCCAACCCTTTCGAATCCTCTGCTATAATGTAATTCAAGAAATTCTTCTAAAAATTAAAAAAAACATAAATAATGGAGTGGTGAGACACATTTCTGGGGTCCAGAATGTATGGGCTCTAGTCTCAAACTAGCTGTGTAACATTAAACAAGTTGTTTTACTTTTCTGTACTTTAATTTCTCTGTGTATAAAATGCACATATCAATAGTTTCTCATGGAGAATTAAATGCTAGATTAGAAACATGATATGAAAAGAAGTATCTGTACATAGGGAGAGCTAGAAATTAATGTTTCAAGTCTTCGGGAAATGTAATGGTAAGTGCCATTATTTTCTGTAAATGTATATCCCTTTTTATTAAGGGGACTGTTCACGGAGTCCAGAAAACCCAAGCAGACCTGCCTTACCCAGTGATGTTTCAATTTCTACCGCCACATTCCTCCCCTGCTCAGGAGTCAGCAATCATTCTCTTTTTTCAACAAGACAAATGTCAACCTGTTTAGCACGTTTGCTTCTGTTTAGCTTCTCCATGCTTATCTGCCAAGGCCTCTGATTCTGTGTCTATGTACTGAGGTCTAGAAATGTTAACTAGTCCAAAGTTCCAAAGCAACCAAGGAAGTTTCTGGAGCATTACTTGGGGCATACCTCCTCCACGCTCTGCTTTCTCCATCCACACCTCCCCTGCTCCACTTGGCCTCTTGCCAGCAGTACTCACCGTCTTTGTCAGGAGTGAGGAAGGTATAGAAGACTGGTGGGTTCAAGGACTCCACGAACTTGGACTCTACCACTGACTCTGGCAGCAGCTGGAGCTTCTCTGGGAGAAGATGAAGACTGATGGCCTCAGGGAGAATGCTGGAAGGCAGCAAGATTGGGAGATTTGGAGAGATGCTTCCTAGCATAGGACCAGAGCTGTGGGTTAGGGCCATTAGTAGAATCCCTGGCAGGGATGGTCCCAGAACTTGCCTGGTGCTCTTGGGTCCCAGCAGCGAGTCTTGCTGATGCCAGAGTCTTGCAGCAGGAAGCAGAGAGATCAAAGTAGGGGTAAAGGGAGAAGGGAGGGGTTCCCCAGGAAGAGAGGTGGCCACAGTACTGCTGGGTCTCGTGGAACTCGAGAGTGTGCTTGAGGATGTGCCGAGGCTTTGAGGAACTACTGGCCTGGGTCTGGAGGGTAGTGGAATTTGGGTGTTATGGGGAGTTGGGGTTCTGGACTTGGAAAGTAGCAAGCTAGTAGAGGTTTGGTGAGATGAGATATTAGGTTTAAGAGATGAAGGAATTTTAGGAGACTTGGGCAAGATGATCCCTGATCTAGGGTGTGGTAAATTTGGGGGAGTCTTGGGAGCAAGACCTTTGGAGCTGAGGTGTAATGGGTGTTTGGTTATCTGAAATGTGGAGACAGACTCGGGCTGTGGCAGGCTTTGGGGTGACTGTGCTATGGGTTCCCCAGGTTGAGGGTATGATGGGGCATCAGGTGTAGGCTGAGCATCTGATGAAGCCGGAAATTCAGAAGGAGTAAACGGATTAAAATGCTTCATAGTGTCACCTTTGGGCTGGGTGGGGCTGACAGGATTCAGAGGTAGGACATGTGTCCTAGAATTAATAAGTGATGTCACACCAGGGTTCGGGTGTGATGGAGTGCTGGGCTTCAGAAGTAACAGGGCATTAGAACTTGAAGGCAGAGGGGCAATAGGTTTCATCTTCAAAGTTGGCAGTGCCAAGGTACTGGAATATTGGGTTGGAATTTGGGGCTTTGGTTGTACTGATGTTGGCAGGCCATTAGGGGACTGACTCAGTGCCCCCAGCTCCTTGGAACTGGGCACCTTCCTTTTAGGGGCAGTAACAGTTGAGATGGGCTTCATGGGCCTTGATTTGGGAGACACCTTGAGGACCGAGGCTGGTTGAGCTGTGCCTGCCCCCAGGCCGAGGCTTTTGCTGGGTGAGGGTGTGACTGTGCTTGCCTCAGCTGTCGTGGATGGCTGACTCCTGGATCCCTCATTGGTCCTCTCGAGGTGTACCACAACCAGTGAGGTCAGAGGTGAGACAAAGTTGTATTCAAGGGATAGGTTGAGGGCTTTGGCAGCCAGCAGTCGGCGAGTGGTAGGGTCCCTGGCTTGGAAGCGTGCCTCCAGCAGCTCCCCAATAGTGATATAGGCCCACAGGCGGCGGATAAAGTGGGCCACATGTAGGGCAGGTTTTCCCGGACAACCAAAGGCCTTCTGGCTGCTGTTGGTGGCTTCTTCACTATGGCGGGCCACAAGAAGTTGACCATTGGGGCCACGGGCTGCTAGGTGGATGCCCAGTTCCTGCTCACCTTGTTGCACCTTGCCAGCCACCACCAGCTCTGAACCACAAAAATAGTTAGGGAAATGGGCCCTAGGGGAGGTCCCAACCAAACCACCCAGATAGTCCAGGCGCACATCTGCCAGTAGAGGCTTGGAAATCTCCTCAAAGAGACCCTCTAGCTGCAGAGCTGCATCAGCGTCCTCGTGTATGCGTCTTGCTTCTCCCCGGTTCTCCAGGGACAACCGGCGCAGTAGTGAGAAGTCAGCATCATCCCCAAAGGCCAAGCTGAAAAGAGATACCCTGTGGCCCAGTGCCTGACGGATGTTGGAAAGGATCGCACTGGGAGTTGTCACGCCGGCTGTGGGTTCCCCATCTGTCAGGAACATGATAAGAGGAATCTGCCCCACACCATGGCCCTTTCCAGGCTCCTGGTTGCTATGGTTCAGCACTGAAGCAGCTGCCAGCAGAGCTGCGTTGATGTCGGTCCCTAATTGGGGAGCAGACTGTGAGATCACTTTCTCAGGCCATTTTTGCCCCCACTGCACCATGCTCCCAAGCTCATCCTCCCCACTTGATCTTTTCTCACACTGTTCCCGCTGCCTAGCCCTCCTAACTCCATCACTCTCGCCCTGGCTCATGTGACCTGATAGTGGAGCCCATATGTCCTTGTCCTTATCACTCCCTATCTTAGACCACTCTTTGATTATTCCCCAGGGTATGTGTGTATGGGGGGGGGACAGGATCATTTCATTTTATAGTCAGATGACAACCACCCAAAGAGAGCACCACCACCTTCTTGCTACAGGGGAAAAGATGGCTTAGATGACAGAGACAGTAGATCTGGGAGAACGGAGTAATTATTTGAGAACAAAAGTCACAACCGGGACAAAAGCTTGGAAATAAAGCCTACAATACCGACTTTAAAAGGCTTAGCAATTGTCATGTTTGTTTTAAGGAAGAGGACACTGAAGTCCAAAGAGAAAGAGGCTAAGATACAGGGGAAATCAACCATGTTCCTTCCATCAGGAGAGAGAGATAGGCGGGGAACCAAGAGGAGGAAAAGGTATGGTTTTTATGCAAAATGTGAAAGTGATGTCTCTGGCAGCATTGAGAAATGAGAAGCATGGGGGAATGAGGAGAAGGGCTCAGAAATTTCTTCTGTCACCACAGCCTGTCCATTTGGGGAGGCAGGTAAAACACTTACAGCCATCTGCTTCCATGCGACTCAGGTAGTTCCTGGCACTATGAATGTTTTCGGCAGTGGCCTGGATTGAACCTTCGGCTTTCCAGATGTTAACTTTGTCAGAAAAGGAAATGATGTTGAAGTAGTCACTGGCTTGCATGTCACTGAGGATCGTGTTCATGGCCTTTTTAGTCTGTGGGATAAGGATGAAGGAGATGAGAGAAAACTTGAGCGCCACAAACTTGACCGGCTCTGGTCACGTGACACTTAGCTCTCTCTGGGTGCTTCACGGTTTTAACCCTATTTTGACCTCTCCTTTTGTGTGTTGAGGATATTAGGTCAAAATGTTTGCAAGGCTTTATGGTAGGCTTCAAAGTTCATTCTCCAATAGAGAAAAAAAAATCAGTTCTTAACTTGTAAGAGTCATATTTCAAGTGTTCAATGACCACATGTGGCCAGTGGTTATTGTTTTAGACAGTACAGAGCTTGAGATTATTATCAAGCAAGTTCCAGTGGAGACATGCATGGTGGTGCATGACGGTAAACAGCATTCAGGAGGCTGAAGTTGAGGGATTACAAGTTCCAACATAGCCTGTGATATAGAGACTGTTTCAGAAAGCAAAGCAAAATGAATGAACAGAAGAAAGGTCTACTGGACAGCTTTCCTCTCAAAGTTCCCAGGTCTGTTCTTCCCAGATCTCCACAGTCTCTGTGGTCAATGGATTGATTCTGAGCATATGCTCCTGGGCTGAATGAGTCAACCCTTTCAAGTAGGAGGGCCTTATGATTATGGAGCCATGTATCTGACTGCTGGGTTTCGGCTTGCTTTACTTCTGCTCAGATCTGCTTCTGATCCTCAGCCCCTCTGTCTCCTCCATGCCTACGCTCTCATCATACCCTGGAGAGCCCACATTCTATTTCAACTGCATAACTCTGCCCTGCTGCCCTTTAGATAGCACATCATTTCTCTTTATGTAGCCATATCTTTAAGGATCTTCCACTTACCCTTTCTCAGGGAAGCACTTTCTTGAGCGATCTGCTTTCATCCTTCTCACCCAGATAGTCTCTACTCTAGACTGTTCACCAAGACTCTGACATGGAAATATTTGTACTCTCCAGTCACATATCCAATACCCTGCAAAAGGCCACATAATGCTCCTTCTTCCTCTCTCTTTTCCCCATGACAACACTTAACAGAGAGCTAGGCATATATGAGATTCCATAGAAAGTAGATTCTAGTATTAGGCACCACTAATAGGATACTTTCTATGTTGCAGACATTGCTGAATATTTTAGCTGTATCAGTTTATATAAATTTTACAGAAGGATAGGGAAGAAGGCACTAATATTATTCCTATTTCCAGGTAATGGCACTGAGGCTCACAAAAACATAAATAGTTAGTAGTTCAGAATCAATTAGTAGTTGATGGACCAGAAACACAAAACAAACATTGAAGAGGTAGAGGGCTGGCAATACAGCTCAGTTAATATTGTGCTTCTTAGCAGGCGTGAAACCCTATATCCTATCGAAGCAGCACATAAACTGAGCATGATTGTACACACCTATAATTCCAGCACTTGAGAACATAGAGGCCAGAGGATGAAATTTCAAGGTCATCCTCAGCTACATGCTGAGATTGAGGGCAGCCTGGACTAGTATAAGAAGCCCGATTCAGAAAAAGAGCAGCAGGTGTTTAAAAAAGGAGTAATAACCATCATTGGAAGCAATCAAAAGGAGAGACAGTTATGGATTTCAGAGGCTGCAGAGAAAATCCTTGTTACCTGCTGCAACTTAGTTCCAAACATGGAGCCGCTGACATCTATAACAAATACCACATTCTTCTCCACTGGCGGGAGGCCTCTGGGGGCAAAGTAGTGAATAAAATAGCCACCATAGATCTGGACAAAAAGAAAAGAGCCAAGAAGGAGGGTGAAAGCTAGGCCGAATCAGGCCCCCTCAGCCTCCTACATAACACCCTGCTCTCTCCTTCCCAGGCCAGCTCCCTCTCCCTGGTTGTCAATTGGCTCAACCTTGGTCTGCACACCAGAATTGAACCTCTGCTCTTGAG